AACTCTATCAAGGTGATTTCTCCCAAGATGGTCCTGAAAATTTTATATTTAATGTTGATAGCCATTACCACCGAGCCATCCACTGCACGTGTACATCTACTACTCCCTTCAAGATCAAAGATTTTATGAATTGCTTTACTTTCCAAATCAACAACCAGAACAAAACAAGAAGTTTTACAAGGTTATAAAATGTTATTAGAGATTCAACTTGATTAAATTAAAACCCTCTGTAGATAACAACAAACAAGGCAAAATGGCCTTTGGGTTAAGACTCAGCTCATCTAAATTCGAGTACATTCCCATGGCACCAGCTCGAGTCATAATCTTCCATGTTACCTTCAATTCCCTTCTTAACTCTCCCTGCAATTACCCTGCAAACAGCATGGCCTCGTGTCACTTCCATCTTCAACTCCAGATTCATCAGGCGCTTTTCCACTTGTTGCAGTTGTCAAAATACCATTTTTATGGACATCTTTATTGGGTTCTTGGGAAACTTTAAAGCCGCTCTTGATAATGCTCATACATTGCATGAGGAACTGAGTTGCACAAGTTGGATGAGCCGTTAGGCCTAGTGAACATGAAAAGGTTGTGCAGTGGAACCTGAGGAGTTCTTGCCATCTGCTATGCACGAGGGTGCTTCTTTGGCAGCTTGGTGGCCTTGGCTTTGATTGAGTTCTCGGTACTCTTCAAATTTGGAAATGTTCTTTGAGTGTTGTGGACTTTGAGGATTCGGTCAATCTTGCATATGGGTGCTTGTTTCTTTAGCCAGCTTGACTGGAATATGATTTCCCTATGTTCTGCTTGTGTCCTCTGGACCCAGTTCAGATACTGATTTTTAGTACACAAACCAGACAAAGTCAAATTGGTTACTGTCATTGAACAATGCAATTGGTACTGAAATAAGAAAGAGCACCATAAATGATAAAAGTTGAAAAAAAATGCTGTAGTCCAAGAGAGGATTGAAGTAAATTTAAGACAGAAAAGTCTAAAATTTAGTGCTGAAATTAGACTTGGTTCAAACAAAAACATATATTTGATGAATAATAGACCTTTTTTTTAATAGATTAGTTAGAGAGAATATTGAAGCTACGCACCAGCATGTCTAACAGCTTATGAAGCTCCAAATGTTCAGCTTTCATGAAGATCTCACCACATTCAGGACAAGAATAAAACTACCTCTCAGAGTAGGATCTCTGTTATACCAAGAACAGGATCAACCACCATTCTAAACTCATAACAGCCAGAGAATCTCCTAAAGGCATTCCTCAAAGATCCACCATTAAGGAGGAGGAATTATTAGAAGTAAACAGAAAGTGAAGAATTGGTAGAGGAAACACTCCATTGAGTTCCTGCAGAGGAGCTTTCAGGATCTGCTTGAGGCTTCTTGTTACCACTACTTGAACCCATGGAGGCCCTTTTCTTTTGGACTTCTGGGGAGCTGCAATTTCAGGCCTGTGCATCACCTTTGTGTTGCTGCATAATGAGCCGAACACTTCATTTTCTTTCTTTTTTTGTTAGCTTCCTCATGGGCTTGTTCTTGTTGTTGCTTTTGTTTTTGCTTTATCTTTTTCTCTTCCGGCTGTTGTTGCTCCGGTTGCTTTTGTTGCTGCTGCTGTTGTGCTTGGAGATGTTTACAAGTGAAAAGGCCTCTTACAACTGCCCAAGAAGCTGGTTTCTCTGGTTTTTTAGGCAGGTTTTTTTCATTCTGTTGCATTTCCTTGGTGGGTTTTCTTTGGTTTCTAGGTTTAGCCATTGTTGAAGAGATACTAATACGATGTTTAAGCTTAAAAAAATGTGGGTTTTTTGGGGCTTTTTTCTGAGTTAGAATCTCATTTCTGGTGGTGTTAAGAGACAAGAATTGAAACAACTAGGAAGGTGAAGATGCAGAGGAGCTCCTCACTTTCTTCAGAGTGTGATTCTAGATTTGTAGCTTGTTGATATGGACAAATTTGCTATATAAATAAATTAATGGCAGTGTGCATGACCATTTTAATGAGGAGCATCTCACCGTCGGATTAGAATAACACTATGTCAATAGGTGAAGTAATTTAATGGGCCCCTCTGTTCTAGACTTATTAGGCTTTGCCGTCCAGTAAAATTTAGTAAACTTATTAACAAATGTATCACGCGATGGATGGTCATGATCTTTATTACTGCATGCATACAGGTCGGGTCGGGTCATGAATCAAATTGACCCGTTTTCCTCCCAAGGTGGATTTTTGGGGTTAAGTGCTAGACGCCAACAACTAGGTAGACACTAGACACTCACTAATTACCCCATAATGATGCCTCTTATGGGGAAAAGCTGCTTGATTCCTTCTGCCTCAAAATTGTGGCTTACCCATATGCTCATCGAATAAAGCTTTTTACTTTAATCACTTCTACTTGTCAAACTTCATTAACTCTGTTTTAACTTTCTTCTTTACTGAAAGACACATAGCGATTGTAACCGTTACTAATTAAGTATTCTAAAGATAAAGTCTTCATTGGATAATATTCACTGTCACTTTAAATTTGAGAAGCTTTTGTGTTACATTTTTGCCAAGGAAATAAAAAAAATATAAGTCATTGTAAAGCTAATTGTCTCCCCTATGTTTCGATATACTACAACACAGAAGAAATATATTATAAACTATCAAGAACTCTGTCTACTGGCTTGATTATTAGTAGAACTTTGTCTCATTTGAATTTTGAATGAGCAGATTCAAGTTATACCAGGCTTGTTTACCTTTTCAAGTTATAAAAAAAAAAAGGTTAATGTACTATGTTAGTGGGATGCCAATTTGATCTTGATGCCCCACTTGAAATCAGATCTTGTTGCTTGAAGAAAACATATCCCAGCTGGTTCTAATCTGCAGTCCCAAGTAGTTTGCAATGAAATAATTGGGATTTGGGAGGTTTGAGTTAGCTTTAGAAGCATATTACAAAGATTTGAATTGCCCTTAACATTCTCATGCAAGAAATGGCCTTCACTTATTATACTTGACATGAAATTACAGTAAAATTAAGAGTGCTAATAGGTTTCTACTATATTTGTATGGTTTAGATACAAAATCATTGTTAACTCTAAGGTAAGATCGGTCTCGAGTAAGTATCCAAGGTTACAAGGTGCTTTCAGTGCAATTCGAACCCTGACATTGCAGGTAAAATTCACCCCATTTGGAGTCTAGCTACTAGCTAACGCACACCTCATAGTTATAAGGTCGTAACTTTTGAGAAAGAGTTTAAAGTTGTTGAAAATGTACTATTCACATATTTTGGATAATTACAATGTTAAATTTAAGTTGAAAAAGAGCTAATCTCAAACAAAATCATTGCCATTTTTCATTTATGCTATGCACAAGGATCTTTCTGAGAGAACATTTTAATTAAATTTAATGTAGATTAAAAGATTTAAGATAAATTCTTAACGAATTTAGTTTAAAATATAAATTTTATTCAAAGTTTGTTTGTAAAACAGCACCGGCCACCCTGGGTTTTGGCCCAACCTTATAATTTCGAGAGTTGGGTCACCAAAGCCCACCAGTATGGCCTATTTTCTGTTCAGAGTACCGGATCAGGGAGCCTGGATTAGGACCCATTACGATACGACTGTGAAGAGCGCCAATAAGCCATTCAAACTTCCAAATTTCTCTCCCTCTCTCTCGTTGCTTGGTAATGGCTACTGTCAGTACTCTCGCTTCGTTTCTATCGTCAACTTTAGAGTATGAAGAATTCGTTGAATACGATAAATTGACCGAACACTAAGCACGAAAAAAAAAAGTAAATAAATAAAAAAGATATTTACTAGTTTCACATCCTTCGGTCTATGTTTGACTTCCAGCAGCAGTTACCTTAAGGGTAGCTCTACTCCCATTCATCTAAACAAGCTTTCTTAAGCCTAAATTTTTTGCATATTTTTCGTTGTCTCAAGCAATAAATATCCTTTTAACACAGAAGTAAGATGGGATAGGATTGAGTCGACTCTGGTCTAGACTCAAAAATTAGGACGTGTCAACAAGCAACGTGGGTAGGCTCCACCTATTAGATAGTCGTGGTAGCCCGCAACCCCACCCACCACCACCTCTTTATCTTTATCATGTTAATGCAGAGCCCAATCTTGAGACCTACCACGTTGTGGTAATTGCCTATTTTTAAACCAGACTTTCAGTCTTTCATACTACGTTGCTTTCTTCTTCAATCATTCACCAACACTCTCTTTCTCCCAATGTCCTCATTATGAATGTGTTTTCCTCTCCAGCATGTGTATTTCTTTCTTTTTACTCTTTCCAATGACTGTAAACTGTAACCACTGCACAAAAGCTACGCAACACCAGACTTGTATTAAAAAAAATTCCTTCTGGCGCGAGCTGAGTCATCATTTTTCTAGCGAAATGTTGACTAATGAGTAATGACATTGATTACATGGCCAAACCGGATACCGTGGGTTGCTGTGGAATCCATGCATCCCATTTGGATTCTTTTAAATTCTAGATTAAGGAGGAATTGTTTAATATTTAGGATACGTAGTGCTTCTCCACAGCCTTTATGCTGCTTACGTAACGATCAGAAACCTCAAATCATGAGGCAATGAGTACAACAGAGTCAGAATGGCAGAATCTAGGCGGCAAATCAATGTTACCCATAAACAATAACTCATGCGCGACCGTTATATACAGGCTACAAAAAGCCCAGAGAACAAACACTAAGCTGCTCGGTGTCCATTTGGCACTAGCCTCTGCAATTTCCAGAGCTTTCACCCACCATTTGAATTATAGCTCAGTCCTTCACTGCGGTAACTTCAGTGATTACGAGGCATTAGTCTTTGTTTAGGAACCCATTTCACTATTTCATAAAATATTCAAGTTAGGTGGCTAGGTTAAATCATTGAGTTTGACCTTGAAGAGAGATCGTTTTTACATGAATGTAGAGATGTACAACAACACTTTTTGTGCTGGAATCACTGACGGTACTCCGTGTGTAAACGTTGATTGTGTACCATAGGTTCATATTGGGTAATAATGGATGAAAAACATGAGATTTATGCGTCATATTATGTTAAAGAGATAACTGAAAGTTGTGTCTTTTACATCGTGGTGAGTGGTTTTAAATTGAATCTGTGAAGTAGGAGCGTGTGAAATAAGGGGTTATAATTAAAAAAGAGACAAAAATATGATCTTGGACTTTGGTGAGGGGTCAAAAAACGAAAGGACACCAGACAGGGACAAGAAGATCAACCTTGCCTTCTGGCTTTACCCTTTTCTTCTTCTCTTCCCAACAATCTCTGCGGTAGTTTAATTCACAGTCATGGTCGTTATGTCATTTCATGTACAATTAAATTGAAGGGAAAGGAACAAAAGCATCTTCCATTTCAAGGCAATTTTAAAATGTAATAATCACCCCATTTACATATTAACACGTCCACTGTCTTGTAAATGATCCAAGATTGTAAAACTCAAGGTGGTCAATGTCTAACACATACAATTTTGTATCTTTGATAATTTTGTTCCTAGATATTAAACCAGCACCATTATCCTTGCTGTTACACACTATTTATATGCCCAAGTGTGGATTAATGCCCCGTATTGGGTTGGTGGAAACTGAGAAAAGTCATCAATTCCAAATTTATAACTCTATCAAGGTGATTTCTCCCAAGATGGTCCTGAAAATTTTATCATTTAATGTTGAAGCATTACTACCACCGAGCCATCCAACTGCACGTGTACATCTACTACTCCCTTCAAGAATCAAAGATTTATGAATTGCTTTACTTCCAAATCAAACAACCAGAACAAACAAAGAAGTTTTACAAGGTAAATAAATGTTATTAGATTCAACTGATTAAAATTAAAACCCTCTGTAGTAACAACAAACAAGGCAAAATGGCCTTTGGGTTAAGACATCAGCTCATCTAAATTCGAGTACATTCCCATGGCACAGCCACTGAGTCATAATCTTCCATGTTACCTTCAATTCCCTTCTAACTCTCCCTGCAATTACCCTGCAAACAAGCATGGCTCCGTGTCACTTCCATCTCAACTCAGATTCATGCGCTTTTCCACTTGTTGCAGTTGTCAAAATACCATTTTTAGACATCTTATTGGGTTCTTGGGAAACTTTAAAGCCGCTCTTGATAATGACATACATTGCAGTGAGGAACTGAGTTGCACAAGTTGGATGAGCGTTTAGGCCTAGTGAACATGAAAGGTTGTGCAGTGGAACCTGAGGAGTTCATTGCCATCTGCTATGCACGAGGGGTCTTTGGCAGCTGGGGCCTTGGCTTGATGAGTCTCGGTACTCTTCAAATTTGGAATGGTTCTTTGAGTGTGTGGACTTTGAGGATTCGGTCTCATCTGTCATATGGGTGCTTGTTTCTTTAGCAGCTGACTGGAATATGATTTCCACTATGTTCTGCTTGTGTCCTCTGGACCCAGTTCGATAATGATTTTAGTACACAAACCAGACAAGTCAAATTGGTTACTGTGCATTGAACAATGAATTGGTACTGAAAAGAAAGAGACGCATAAATGATAAAGTGTGAAAAAAAAATGCATGTAGTCCAAGAGGGATTGAAGTAAATTTTAAGACAGAAAAGTCTAAAATTTAGTGCTGAAATAGACTTGGTTCTAAACAAAAAACATATTTTGTGAATAATAGACCTTTTTTTAATAGATGTAGTTAGAGAGAATATTGAAGCTAGCACCCAGCATGTCTAACAGCTTGATGAAGCTCCAAATGTTCAGCTTCATGAAGATCTCAACATTCAGGACAAGAATAAATACTACCTCTCAGAGTAGGATCTCTGTATTACAAGAACAGGATCAACCACCATTCACACTCATAACAGCCAGAGAATCTCCTAAGGCATTCCTAAAGATCCACCATTAAGGAGGAGGAATTATTAGAAGAAACAGAAAGTGAAGAATTGGTAGAGGAAAACACTCCATTGAGTTCCTGCAGAGGAGTTTGGATCTGCTTGAGGCTTCATTGTTACCCAACTTGAACCATGAGGCCCTTTTCTTTGGACTTCTGGGAAGCTGCAATTTCAGGCCTGTGCATCATTTGTGTGTGCATATGAGCCGAACACTTCATTTTTTCTTTTTTTTGTTAGTTCCTCATTATGGGCTTTTTTTTGTGCCAGAAGAGAGTTGAGAGAACAACAAAAAGAATAACAATGTGTCGAAGTGAATACACTAAACGAATAAATAGTTCTTTTTTTGTATGTAATGTAACCATGTGATTAATCTATAGGCAAGAAATGAGAATCGATTTTATGAATTTTACCCTGCCCCAACCATCTGTATCTCTCCCTCTTACAAAATGGGCATGTATTTGATCTGCAATGTGTTCCACCCTCTTTCCAGAAGGACTTAAAATTCGCGAGTGAAGATTAAAAATGACAATAAAAGTAAAGATATTAACCATCATATTGTCTTCATGGTAAAAGAGTGTAAAAAGGAGTTTCATGAGTTTGAGTTTCCATAGATGAGAATAGAGGTGATTACTGAAAGGTTTATCTTGTCGTCAACTTTAGAGTATGAAGAATTCGTTGAAATACGAATTCATGAGTTTGAGTTTCCGTAGATGAGAATAGAGGTGATTACTGAAGGGTTTATTTTATCGTNTTCAAGCGACACCGTCCTCTAGGTATACTCCCCTTCCATGGGTTAATCTGATTATCAATTTGTTATTTCTCGCTGAGGATTATTTAATTAGGGTTTCTTTTGGAATTAGGATATCCAAATTTGATATTTGTTTAAATATGAAGTTAGAATTTGGGGTTTTGTTATCTGATGTATACAACTAGTTTAGAGTTGCTATGTACACTATAAGAGTTTATTTGTAATCAGGTTTGCAAGTTAGTAGAGAATGTTAGATTGTTTTTACTTTGAAAAAATTTATTCATATCAATTAGACTAGCGTTAACATATTGTAACTTAAGTATTTGAGGCAAACTCTGGACCATTCTTTTATCCTAATCCAATCTGTTTTGTAGAGTTGTTGGTTTGACAAGAGTAGATGAACTATCAGGTTTTGAAGCAAAATTTGAAATTACAATAGGCTGCTGACCAGTTAGATAATGTTTTGCAAGTTAATGTTGAATTTTTTGAATTAGAGGATTGTTCATATCCCTAAATTTTTAATTATGTTTACATGAGGAATTTTAAGGTACAATGCAGTCAAATAGTATAATGCCCAAGCGTGGTTTAGTTCCTAAACGTGAAGCATCAAGGAACTTGGGTTCGAATGTGGGTCCTTGTGCAGACACAAAGAAAACTCAAGACATGGTTCGATTCAGTCAGGATCATGCAGTGAAGGATTCAATTGTTAAGACAAAGAATGTAGCTGCAGCAGCTGCTGTTGGGGAAACTCAAGATTATGTATCCATTACACCTCCTTCAATTTCTGGCACTATCACCAATACATTTGATGACAACTTTAACCCATTTGATGCACAGAGAGGTTGTCCTGAAGCTGTTACTTCTTGTAAAGAAATTAATCCATCCCATTTAGCGTCTCAACAGGATGAAGGTCAGAGAAAAGTTCAGTTTTCACTTGGAAACAATGCCAGTTGTCAGGGTAATTTCTTAGTTTCTTTTATCTTGAATCGTTATTTTATGATTCCATTTGCTGTGATTCAGTGCAACTTTTGCAGCTTTCTCAGTGATATTTTTTGAATTTTAGGTGTTATGTATAATTGTTAGCTTGTTACTATGCGCTGCAATATATATTGCCTTTTTTTAACATGCAGGGGCCGATGACCAAATGGCCACTAGAATGGAGAATTTATCATCTCATATGAATTCCCTTGCATTGACAGAAATGGAGTGGGATGGAAGCAATCAAGTAGAAGCATCAACTGTTGTGAATAATGATTCCAAGCAGCATTTGCTGAACACAGAATCTGACATAAGTTTGAAACCTGATGGTGGAATTTCTTCTTCATTGGCAAAGAGAACAATTGTTGTCCAGGATCAGCTGCACCAGTTTAGAAACTTTCTAAGTCAGCCTGCTACTCAAGTTTCTGTTGTAGGCTCATCATGTGCCACCTCAACATCAATCCATTCTACTTCAGCACCCATGCTGAATTCAACAACCTATTGCTCTCGTTATCAAGATGGCAGTGCTCATGGTGCTGGAGAACCTCGGGGAGATTGCAATATGAATTCCGAGCCTGTAAATCAAGCAGATATGATGCAGCCTTCATGTCCTTCACTTAAAGATATCAATAGAATTCAAGTTGATCAGACAGCAAACAGTGCCCAGGTTTCTACCTCTGTTATTGACACCAGAGTTGAAGTTCAGGAACATGAATTGTCAAAGGAGCAACAAGGCAATGTGATAAAGGAAAGTTGTATCCCCAAGGATCTTTCTCTGCATGATGATAAGTCAATGGAAAGGCGTCAACTTGCAGGCCATATCACCAATGTACAATCTCAGGCTCCATCGTCCAAAAGCTCTTCATCTGATGTGAAGTTAGAGACTTTTAAACCTGAAAAGCAAGAAAAGCCTGCAAGTGGTAAAGGAGTGTCTGCACCTCGTAAACGAAATTATGATCCTGACTTGTTCTTTAAAGTCAATGGAAAGCTCTATCAAAGGCTTGGCAAGATAGGTAGCGGAGGAAGCAGTGAGGTTCACAAAGTCATTTCATCGGACTGTACAATCTATGCACTTAAGAAAATCAAGCTTAAAGGTCGTGATTATGCTACTGCATATGGGTTCTGTCAGGAAATTGAGTATTTAAACAAGTTGAAGGGAAAGAACAATATTATACAGCTAATAGACTATGAGGTACTTGATTTGAACCCAAGTAATTGAAATGCATGTCTATTTGTGGTAATTGTAAATGAATTGCAAAAGTTAAATTATTGCTAAAAAAATAATTTGTTGGATTTTGACCCTCAATGTCCACTATAGGCATTGATTCTATTTCAAAATTTGATAATTGGACTCCTTGCTCTCATCTTAGAGTGGGATGTTAGATTTGATTGATGCTATTTATGAAGATTTCTTATGGTATGATATCCTTATGTGATGAGAAAAGCTAGAACCCGGTGTGAGCTCTTTTTCAAGCATTGGGATAAATGGGATTGTTGTTTAAATATGCCATTTTGCTTGACATCCTTTAATGCTTTTGATAACATCTTTACTAGAAGTCAATCCTTGTTAATGGTTGTAACATAAAGAATTTGAAATAATGAACCTAAAAATAATACAGGACTATTTTAGTGAAAGTTATCATTGTCCAAATAAGTTGAGTTATCTTTTATCTGAGTTATATGCTTTTCAAGGCTTAGTCTTGGAATAGGACTTCAGTAATTTTTTTTGGTTGAGTAGTATCCAATGTTCTCTCTGGTATTAGGTGACAGATAAAACTTTGCTTCGAGAAGTCTTGAATGGCTCCATGAGCAACAAAGACGGTAGAGTCAAGGATGATGGATATATATACATGGTACTAGAGTATGGGGAAATTGATTTGGCTCATATGCTGTCCCAGAAATGGAAGGAAATGGATGGCTCCAATCAGACCATAGAACAGAAATGGCTTCGATTTTACTGGCAGGTCCTCTTAGCTAAACTTTATCTCGGGTTGTAATTCAACGTCTATATAAGCTGTTCATTTTTCGATAATATGTGATGATTTGTTGCTCTTAGCCTTGAATTTCACCATTCAGAAACACAAGGCTGACTTTAATTTGTTGAAACACTCTGCAGCAAAACTTGAAGCTGTGAACACCATTATGAGGAACGTATTGTCCACTCTAGTTTGAAGCCAGCTAATTTCCTTCTTGTCAAAGGTTATCTAAAGCTAATGATTTTGGTATTGCCAAAGCCATAAATAGTGATACAAACAACATCCAAGGGATTCACAGGTGATCCTTACTCATGGCCCTCGTTAATGTTTTTATTAATTTCTGGTAGATTTTCATGGGAACATGATGCAAATTTCATTGATTTTGTGCTGCACAATTGATTGATGGATGTTGTCAACACAGAGTACTGCCTCTGCCATCTGTGTTTAGTTTGTATTAACAAGGTAATTTCTTGTTCATATTCTGCCAAAAGTCAGTGGCAGTTAATGCATGTTCATAGTATTGCCATCATGGCGTGCACACACCTGATGTGATGTAATTATGATCAGTCTCCAGTTGAGCTGGAGAGTAGTCAGTATTATTGGATTCGATGCACTTCACTCAGTTAATTAATTTCTATTACTGCAGGTGGGTACCCTGAGCTACATGTCACCTGAAGCATTCATGTGCAATGAAAGTGACGCAAATGGAAACGTGATAAAATGTGGTCGGCCACAGATATATGGTCTCTTGGTGCATCCTTACACAATGGTGTATGGGAGGACACCCTTTTCCGACTATAAAACCTTCTGGGCCAAGTTTAAAGTTATAACAGATCCTAACCATGAAATACGTATGAACCAGTTTCCAATCCATGGCTTCTTGATCTTATGAAGAAGTGTCTTGCGTGGGACCGCAATGAAAGGGGAGGATTCCTCAGCTCCTTCAACATCCTTTCCTTGTTCCCCAATCCCATCCCAACAATCTCCATCTCAAGACCAAAACTGTAAACTGCTTGAACTTCTGGCTGAATCTTGTGCCAGTGGCCGGAAGCTTCAATGTTATGCTGTCAGCTTAGTCAACTACTTAAGGACCCAGTCATGCCGATAACATGCCAGTTATCAACTCAAGAGACCAACAAGTAAGTTGCTTTCTGAAATGTCACAGCTTTGCGTTGAGCTCCAAAAACGGTTATCAGATCAATGAAGAGAACAGGTAGAGACAGTAGTGTAAATTATGTTAGATTGTTTAACAGGGTGAAGTAATGTTTCAGGCTAGAAGGATATGTAGCTATGTATAAACATTTCTGTTGTGTGTTTTAAGTTTGGAGTATGAGTTGGAAAGGAAATTATGCTCCAATCAAATCATGACATGGTCCTGTTTCTGGTAGAACGGCTGCTGTTTTGTGTGATTTTGTTAATAGTTTGGAACACATTTATGTACAAAAAACACCATTGAATACATTTCAACATCATAAGTAGGAATCAGTCCTACCTTAAATGATATTTTATCTTGAGATATACGATTATGACTCGAGTTTATAAAAGTGATCATGGTCGACAGAGATTGGGGATGCTACAGAAAACCGAGGCCGTTTAATTTCGTAACGTCCTGCTTCCGGTTAATAGACAGACCACCTAGTGAATTAACACTATACTGCTCACCTCACAGCATCTAGTAATCATCTTCACGTTACTCTTTGGGAGATAATACGCAATTCACCTTTATTAGAAGATAATGCAGCTAAATATCCTTAGTAGTCCTCTGAATCACAATTAAAATATTAAAGCACAGTTCTCATAAATTAAAATGAAATTTAAAGAAAAACACTATTTTTGAGACAAAAGACAATCAGGTGCTGCAGTGGTTCTGGCCATTTAATCTTTGGTTGCTGTTGGAGAGTGTATGTAAACAAACTCTGCTACAAGCTCGATGCAAGGAAACTGCAGTTGTGGGTTGAACAGAGAATTCGTCTGAATTATAGAGGTGTATCTTGTGCTTGTCCTTTCTTTCGGGCCAGCCCATATTTTCTTCGAATGGCTGATGACAGACAGAGAATTCCTGTATTACGGAAATTTGTGGGAGTAGAAATTGTTACTAATCTTCCAATGAAGGTTTGTAGAGGCTTCAGCACGTGCTTCCTCCAACTTCACAAGAGTTCCTTCATGAAAAGTGAATTTGTCCCAGAGTAATTCGCAATATATCCACTGCCTTGGTCAGTGATTTGATTGCATTTTCTGTTTCCCGAGTAACCTGAAACAATGATAGAAGATGTCAGCCTACAAGTGTAGCATACCTAAGCCATTTATGAACTCTCTCTCTCTGCCAACAAAACAAAATAACTAATAACATTTCATAGATCATCCAACTCAAGACAATAACCCTATTTGTGGGTGAGCTAAATCCAGACGTTTAAAGCTCAATAACTCTTCCCCATGCCAATCATCCAAACAACCAAAACAAGTGAGTTGATGTCACAGAGAAATATCAAATATACAAGAACAGTTTGGTAGTACAAAATTAAGAGACATATAGAGGAATAGAAGCAAAATATAAAATTAAAATCACACACCACTCAAGTTTTCCACAGGTATAGTGTTGCAGTCCAAGCAAAGGATGGAACCCAGGATATACTCCTGCAGTCAAACACAAAGAGAATTCGGAAGCTAGCAGCAGAAAAAGTTACATATCTCACTGCCAGAAATAAAAAGATGATTGCTTAGTTCGAGATTTCACACAAAACACATAAATTTGATGCATATTGGAAATAGTACAAGAATTTAGCCAGATAAATACAGTAACCCTACTTGTAACAATACCATTGATATGGAAGCTTTTTCAAGGATCTCAAGAACCTTTTGCAATTAAAAACGAGAAATTTAAGCAAGCTCTGGGCTGTTATAAAACCAGTAAAACCCAGTATGTATAATCAATCCGTAATATTTACCAGGGGTAGTAAAGAAAATTTTATGTTCGTGGAAATTGGTTGGAAGAATTTCCCTCTTCCAACTTCAAATTAATCTTTAGCAGACAAAAGCCATCATCCTAAATTTAACTGTTTAACTCAAAAACAGAAAACATGACATACTTTGATACACTGGAATGTCAACCGGCAATATGCCAGAGCTTCTCTCCAATCTTCTACCTCCATCAGTATCTGACGAGATAATTTCAAATTGTTAATTCTCAACCTCAACACATTGCTAAAAGTCCATCTGTGAAAAATCGGGAATCTTTACCTCCAACCATAATTTATGAAATAATAGCTTTTTAATTCAGAAAAAATCAAGGACTAAATTTAAATGCCATGTGAAACAGAATGTAATGGTAAACTCAATGGTGCATATAACTTATAAGTCCACATGTGGAAAACAAGATTTCCTAGAAAATAGAGAAGAAACCAAAAGATACCTTTATAAGTTTGTCTCGAGTTTGCATCAAACTGATTGAAAAGGGATGGCACAAATTCCTCTGGAGTTTTTCAATCTTCTATAGATAGAAAGACTTTCTGATTGTCTAAAGTCAGTCAAAGGTCATCATAAATTATAGATGTAGATAAACTGTGTCATCATGATCGAGACAATATTTCTCCAATTGTGGCCAAAAAGAAGAGAAAAGGAACTCCATGGACATAGAAGTAAGAATGTTTGACAATGCTTTGATTTCACTAGTTAGTTTTTATTCTTCCTACTCTTAAAAAGGCCACATGTTGGCATGTAAATCCCTTGTCATCTGCACATTCAAACAGGAAAAGAAAATAAAAACAGTTAATGGGCCATCTAAAAGACTTACTGCTAGTAGTTTCATACCAGAATCACGAAGCAAGAAGCCACTGCATCTATCATCCTTGCCGGTAACCTTCTAGAATGAACTTTCTTTGTACTTCAAACGCCTTCAGAAATATAAGCTTCATTAACCACCCCTAAAGGGATGAGAACACAATGCTGAAAGAAACAAGAGATCAACTAAAAGAAAACACTAAATTAACTGTAACAAGTACCAATTTGATGCAGCGAGGACATGTACAAGTGAAAAGGTATTGTTTTTTGAGAGCCTTTTGCCTTGTCATGGTGCTTCCAGCAGTCTCTATGTAACTTATCAGTACCTAACAGGATTAGAAAAGCACACCATCTCAGACTTGGCAGCACAGAAAGATTAAGAAAGAAAAAATTGCGCTTTGGTTGAGATTGACTTTCCAGTGAAATTAACTTCTAGAGGATAAGTTCCAGATATGTCCATTAAACAAGCAGGTTTTACTAGTAATCCATATGATTAGAGATACTCTCAATAGTCAATGGTTAATGTAAACTCTTACAAATAAAAAGCACATGATCCATGCCTTACCTCAGCACCTTTAGGACATGTTGCACGGCACGCACCAAACCCAATCTTCCTCGAATACTAAAACAGCGTTAGGCAGCAGCTACAACACCAGAACTATTTAGCAAGACTAGCATAAGCATAAAAACAAATTAAAAATCAAGTAATGAAATTACCTGTGATTAATAATGAAATGACAGGATACAGTCCTGTTCCCAGAGGTCTCAGTTCACTGTCACAAATGGTTAGTGCATTGCATGCAAGCTGCGTTAGATATAGTTGATTGACAGATGTCAGTATCACTCATCAGAAAACAGGACTGTTCTACAGAGATGAACCTTTACCGAGACAACTTGCCTTGGTAGATGTATATGAAAAGAAATAAGAGAATCAATCAGTAATAAGATTGCAAATTTATTTTGTAGCCATTGAGTTTACAGCACAACCTAAACACCCTCGTTGATTCCATTTTAAGTTTTGAAGCAACCCTCAAATTCCAAATAACTAATTGCAATCTTAATTTTTGAAACATAATAAAATAGGAAGTTATACAGTTTCTGGCATCTAAACTAATAAGGGAGATTAAGTAATACGCTTAACTATAAGGAACAAGTTATAAAAAACCACAACTTATCTATGAAACCTGGAAAAATTTTCCGCAATTCTTTAATGTTGATTTCTTGCCTTGAAGAATCAAGTTGACAAGGTGGCCATCTGTGCATATAGCACAACTGCTTCTCATCAATGTCCGACATGTCTTTACCAGACAAATTGTTAAGAAAAAGCATTGAACCTATAAATTTACAGCAACTGAAAATAGCACGACATGAATTGAAACCAAAAAACAAATTCAGCAGGATACGAGCAACCAATGCCTCAACCAAATTGTAATGTGCCATGGCCGTAGTAGGGATAACCTGGCAGTCAAAACAAACTAATAAATAAAGCTGCATTACATTAATTCAAAAAATAAGCTGAGCTTGCAAAAACATGAATATATGACAAAATTAAATCACAAACTATACAAAGTGAAAAAAAAAAAGTAATTACCTTCTCACTTTGCAATTTCCGAAGATAGAGTTTTATCATGAGACGAATAGAAGGCTTAACAGATTTTCGCCTGTCCTTGTCAAGCTTAGAGAGAACTTGGCATTCAAGTCGATGCAACTTCCACTCCAGTTTCTGAAAATTATTACAAGAAAAGTTAGTGAAATACTAAAGGATTTGAAAGAGCGAGAACGCATAGAAGTTGAAACCTTTCACGCACCTGACAATCGCTCCCACAGTACCACACAACCTGACAAGTGAGCATTTTTTCAAGTTACTCGACGCGAAACACCCGTCACATTTTGACTCCGAATAGGAGTTAGGTACACAACATAAGGCTCCTGACTTAAAATAACTTCTCCTGAAGTACAAATGCTTACGAAATCAATTCCAAATCAACACATGAAACTTCTATAAATGAAATATATCGACAAAGAGAGAGACCTGGACAGAAATCTCTGGTGGTAAAGAGACAACGGCCTTTTTCAGGTGAATCGGTAACAATAGCCCCGGTCTTGAAGAGCCGTCTGTATTGCTCCATGGATGCTCAACGCAAAACACTCTAGTAAGCCTGGAATTAATTTCTTTTCTAACAGCGAGCGTTTTATAAACTAAACAATACATTATATTATATATATACTTGCTAGGGTCACGTGTACTTCACCTTGTTACAATACATCCGCTAGATCATCGAAATTGAAATCAAAAGCACGGTCCCACGTGATGCGTGTCTTGCTAAATAAAATAAACGGCTTCCAAGGCGTCTGTGACAATAACAAATTTACGCTGTTCTTAAGTTTAAGTCAAATAGTTTCCTCCGTCTTAAAGCTCCTGGAAACAGAGTCAGCCACTACGACTTGCCTGCGTTTCGTCTCACCACTAATTTTTTCCGTCTTTTCACTCTCTACGACGCGTCGTGTTTGCAAATATAAAGGCTCCGTCTGTCTCTACAGCAGGTTGGATTCGGTGTTGTATTAATGAATCGACTTTCAATTGAGAGCAAGGTTTTTATTTTATTTTCATTTGTTTTGTTCAGCAATGGATGGCAATTCTCTGGCACGCTGGTACTATGTGGAAAGTCATTGGCTGAAAATGAAGTTGCTAAGTCATTGAAGGCTAATAACATTCTTAAACTCCCTGATAATAGTGAAGTTTCAATAATTTTGCAATCAGAAATTGGTAAACCTGTTGAAGAAGAGTCTTTCAATGTTGAACTGTACATGAATTCTCTTTCCACCAATCAATTTGGTCAATTCCTGATTTGGTCTCCGCAGTTGTCTTCTACGCACGACGTTGTTTCTCAGTATGTAAATATTTTTTTCAACTGTGCATGAATACCTGATTTTTTTTTTTTTTTTTTTATCAAATACTGAACTCTGTTTTAGTTTTTGACAGCAACTTCTGTGAGCTTCCAGTTGGTTCGGTTTGTGTTGCTGATGTTCAGTTTAAAGGGCGAGGTACGAATGAGGCATTCAACTATCACGATATTCATATGCTTTATTTAATAAACTCCTCTTACACGAGTGTTCATTTTGAAACTTCCGATCATGATATGAAGGAAAGATAAATTTGTGTAGTACAATGAAATGGTTTTATTTGATAGACATTCAAGTGGTGCACAACCTAAGAGATAATCCTTAAGACTAGCCAATATGTGTTACCCAAGTTGTGGTTAACGTAGCTGTGAGTGATACACATGGTACATAATATCTGAACTAGTATCAGTTAATCCTATAACTGTCATGATAGGATGGAGTATCAATAATTTTTTCCTTACAAAAATTTTAAAACAGAGTTGTAAACATTTACACACGGAATTATGAAGGTCGATCAAAGAATTATGATCAAAGAGTGCTGTCTGATTTTTTTGACGTTTAATTATGTAGGTCGATCAAAGAATGCATGGGAGTCTCCTAAGGGTTGCCTTATGTTTTCTTTTACTATACAAATGGAGGATGGAAGAATTGTGCCTTTGTTACAGTATGTGGTGTCTCTTGCTCTCACAGAGGCTATAAAAGATATTTGTGACAGACATGTAAGTGTTGCACAAACGCATTGTTTCTATTGTGTGTAGAAAAAAGGATAACAGGGTCAAAAGATCTACTTTGTCAGAATTTTTTTCAGCTGCTAGTTGCTGAATTTCAGTCTGTCTTAGTTACAAGAGCAACTAGAAATATCATAAGTTAAGTAAGCTATGTAAGTCCAACTTTGCAAAGAGTAATTATATGCAAAAGTGTATAATGGTAAACATGTTCGTGATTGATCAAGACATTCTATATGTTGTTTCAAAAAATGATATTTACATTGGAGAACATATGTTCTTCATTGCAGCTTCTAATATGCAGCAACTTTAAAATTTAACCAAGTAAGCTTTTGCTATTCAGTTGATACAAAAGACTGCGAAAAACAAAAATTGTGCTCTCATTCAGAATAGAGTGAAGCTCTCAAAACTTTTTTGCACTGAAAGTTAACATTTTAGTGGCCCAATGTATTTAGGTTACTTTGTCAGGCATATGGAGGGAACAAGCTTAAAGGAGTGTTGCATTACTTAAAGCACTGAATCTTTTAAGCACCATACTTCAAAATCAAAACCTGAAAACTATTATGCAATTCCAAAATCTTCAGTATCTGGCCTCATTAAAATTTTTCATTTTAGAAAGACTTTTAACAATTTTGAAGCCAAAACTACTATGGAAATGATCAGATTTTGTAATGTGCAAAAGATTGCTTTCTTTACTTCTTCTTTGTACATTTTCTTCTTGGAACTTTCACATCATATATGATGATTGTATTGCTGAATTTTTGTTATATGAGCTTTTTAAAGTGCTAGGCACTGATAAAGTTGTTTTCAAAATTTTGTGTATTTCAGGGATTACCATACATTGACGTTAAAATAAAATGGCCAAATGATCTATATTTAAATGGCCTAAAAGTTGGAGGCATATTGTGCACTTCAACATATAAATTGAAGAAGTTCAATGTCAGTGCTGGTAAATAGACTTATCTTTGATAGTAATATGGTTGCCTTTGGATGATGATGAAGCAGATGCATTTGAATTCTGTATTAGTAACTGGCTAAATTATTCTGCTTGAAGCTTTCTTCACCTTCATGACTTAGATTCTGGTTTTTGTTACCTATTTTAAAATTGCTAATCCACATATACACGCATGATAGAATTAGTCGATCATCTTGTTCTTGCAGGTATAGGTTTAAATGTAAGTAATGAAGAGCCAACAACATGCTTGAATGAAGTTCTCAGAAAGTTGTCCAATTCTGCTTACCAGTACACGAGAGAAGATATCCTTTCAGCTTTTTTTAATAAATTTGAGACCTTTTATGATCTTTTCATAAAACAAGGTAAATCAATACTTCAAATTGACGGCATTTCCATTCTCAGAAATGTCATTGGAATGATAATAGACCTGGTTCTTTCCTGCATGGCTTGCAGGATTTCAAACTCTTGAGGAGCTATATTATAAGACTTGGCTACACAGGTGACACAGACATTTTGATTACTCTTTTCTATAGTTTGCAGTTTTTGTCTGTGTACACCGAAAATAAATTTGTCTGTACTTGTAACAACTTAAGAAGCCTCTTGACCATGATTGAAATGCTCTTTATGCATTTAGCATTGTCAAGGCTTTACCTTTTGGTGAAATCTTGGGCCACATTTCTCACCGCATCCCCTTTTTGTTTTTGACATTCCTGTATATTTCAATGGTGTATACTTGAAACTTTTACCTCCACTTGAATGCACTCTTTGCTCTTGTGCATAACTAAATGAGGTTGACCTACTCTCTCTCTCTCCCCAATTGGTGTTTGCACTATCTTCTCAGGAGTTTTTTTAACTCCAGTTCTCTTTTCTTTGGTTTTCCTGGCTAACGTTCACTCGTCTTCAAATGTGTTTTTCTTCACCTTTTGAAATTTCTCATTAATGGATATTTTGTTTTATCTTGATTTTCCACATTATAGGTAGAAGTGAGTTAATATGTTCAAAGTAAATCAACTACTAATGCTGAAGACTAACATCTTTTCCTGGCTAAAAGAATAAGATTAGAAGTATTTGACCGTAGAAACATCTCATAAACGCTCCCTTTGTTTTAGGGTCAAACTGTGTCCTCCTACCCAATCTTACTAATATTCTTTCCGATGGCAAATTAGAGCCATTTTTGTTCATTTTTGTTGTGATGCCAAGTTATTGCTTCACGACATGATAAATGTCAAATCTAACATCTAGATTCTAGTGCAGATGTGTAGACTGTTAAAACTGTGGCAGTATCAGTTATGCTGGCAGTGAACTGTGCATTCATTTAGAAGGTTAAATATATGCTGCTATGTATCATGACCGACCATTATAGAAAAATTTAAAAGATGGTGCATGCTAAACTCAAGTGAGCTTGAGCTTGTTTTATTTTCGAAATAACCAAACTTTAATTTGTATGATACATTTATCATTTTTTGCATACCTACATGGCATAATGCTTTGTTCTAGTGGTGATTTCTTTCGTCTGTGTGCAGTGGGCAGAGAGTTATTGTACAGGATAAGAATGAGGACCAAGTAGTCGAGAGTGTTGTGACTATTCAGGTATGATAGAGTTAAAGGATTCATGATAAGTTTTGTCATGCAAATTTTGATATGCATCCATGTCTAGATGATTTTGTGCTTCTGGTTAGTTGGTAAGAACACTTGTATTGGGATCAAATCCTCCCTACACCAGGAGAGCAGTGTATTTGGTTTGCATTTGAGGGGGCTGGAGGTAAGGATGCAAAAGAAAATGCATGTACATCCTTAACCTAAAATGACATATGTCCGGTTGCAATTTAGAAGATATATTATACTGAATTTTATTGATGCTCGGTACTAACATATGTGCCATTCCACTTTACTAAGGTGCTAAATGAGTAGAAGTAGCTCAATGCTTCAGAGCTAGAGCTTGAAATATTGTGTTTTTCACCTTTAGATTCTATTTGCAGGGATTGACATCATCTGGATATTTGTTAGCAATTGGTGACGACAATCAAATGTGTGAGCTTCATCCTGATGGCAATAGGTAGACTGTACGAATAATTTTTGCATTGATTCCGTTCACCATGAAGAAAATATACTACATTGTCTTAATGTTTCATTTGTAAGTTAAAAGTAGAGCAAATAGGCTATCACGAACAATATGAAGCCAGATCTTCAGATTAATATCTTCAGTTTTCTCATCAACCTCACATCCACTGCCTGAAAATTTTTGTACTCCTTTCTTACACAGAGGCCAGATCTTTACAAAGGAATAATTAGTAAAAAACACTTTGTGTAATGATATTGGCATAATTATGACAATCCACACATATATCTATTGATGTAGCAAAACAATTGGTCAATGTGTATGTTTATAACTGCTGACTCTGGATATTTGATTGGAGGGAAAATATTTGTCAGCCTGCAAAATTATATAAAAAGACTGTCAAAGGGTGTAGGCGGTGTGCTGGCTAAACTACTTCAACTCTTAAGTTTACTCTTTTGTGGCTTAAGCATAGAAGAAGAGAAGTAAATTGCTGAATAGTAATTTTTAAATTAGTTTGTAGTTATCTATCTGTATGTGGATTATGTCTATTATATGCTAATGAATGATGAAAATACTCATGGATTGGTCAGTTTTGAAAACACTGGTATATCAGAGGGTTCTATAGATGATTTTAAACTCATGTTCTTGTTATTTATCAGTTTTTTGTTGCTTACCAGAACCATGTCTACTAAGCTTGTGTTTGGCCATTAATCTAAACTTCAGAGTCAGGCATATTATTTGAGATATCAAACAGTCAAGTTAGGCACTATGTTCAATTGATTGATTTACCTCTTGTTTCTGTGGAGTCATAAACATTCTTCCTAGGCTAATCTTCAGCGTAGTATCCTTTTTTTTTTTTTTTTTGGCCTTCTGAAGATATGGCAATCTGCTTTTGATTTCCCAATTCCCTTCCTTAAGACCTTTTTCAAGAATATCTGTTGTTTCAGCCTTCTCTTCTTTATCAGATCTCCCAAATCTCTTTATAAGCAGTGTAGAATATAGGAACGGGAATTCCTATGGATGAGAGAAGGAGGATTTTTTTTTTTTTTTTTTGGTTGACTTCTGTTCCAAAAAGTACCCAGATATTATTGATGTATATTATGCTAACTCTACTTTCAATAGGGTCTTCTTCCCCCAGAATGAATATCATATTTCTGCCATGGAGACATTATAGGAAAGCATAGTACAACCTTCTTAAAGCTGTATTGCATTTTACATTTGGATGTTATGATTGTATAAAGCTTTATATAGCGTTTTAAAATTTCATTGCAGTTATACTTTTGGATGCTGTGGTTTGTATATGCATAATGCAACATTAACTTGAATAATAGATCAGAACAAGTATTGATACCATTTTTTCTCCTTTGGCTACAGTTTTGACTTCTTCAAAGGACTTATCAGAAGAAAACTTCAATGAAGGAGATTTCAGAGTACCCTTCCACTGGAGGAAACTGTCACGCTGCATCATGTGCAGAACTGAAGATTTTTTGTTGTTTTTATGTTTGTCTCATTGTCCCAATACTTATTCTATTTCCATTAGTTCAGATTTAATAAATGAGACTCTTGTACAATGTTTTGTACAGCTTTAAATTGAGATTGTATATTTATGGTCATATGTTCTGTCATATGGAAATTATGGTCTTGATTTTGCTAAGAAATCCTTCATTGGTGAAAAATTGATGTCTTCTTTGCCAGCTATCAACTGATACGAATTAGGAATTATATAATTGATTGTCCATCATCTTTATTTGATAATAATTGAATTAAGCTTATTGTTTTCTCCATAATTGATTGACCCGTTATGATTTATGAACCAGGTGTCTCAGTATTATGCTATTGGGCATGGATCCATCATTGTGATGTCGACGTGACTTGTTTAACCTCTATCACTGTTGATTTGTTGAAACATGCATGCAGGATAAATAGAAGCTTTTCTTCAAGAAGGCAATGATCTTCACTGGGGATATCTTGACACTAGTGTAGTCCGACCCTAAGACATGGGTATGTCCTCTGATTGTTGCTTGTCTCTCTCTCTCTTTCTTTCATTCTTCGCTTGTCACTCTCTTTACTTTCTCTGTGTGTCTCTGTGTTTGTGTCTGTTATATTTTGTTGGTATGAAAAGAAAGAGACTCACTCAGCTTCACATGCACAAAATTCTACATTGAGAGGAAGGTTCTAGCTGTTCTATTATTGGAGTGGCCACAGCCCATCAGGTCCACTTGACAGTTGACAGACATTGTCTCCATCACTTGATGAAACTAAATTGAGGTTTAGTCATTGACAAAGTCTGACAAAAGCAGGTATAGGTAATACAAATGCCCTTACGTTCTTTTTGGTTGTCATACATGAAGGCTTCTAGGTTCCATTTCTAAGTTAGGGTCCCTCTGTGCACCAAAAGCATATCACTTTGCAGCTTTTGTCCTTGCTTGTCTTGCGGAGAGTTTATAATGTAAGCCCGCACATTACGGCAACTCAAAGTTGTGATTGCCTGCGCTATGCTGTTTTAGATTTGTGATTGATATCTTATCCTTTAGATATCATGATGTCAACACTTGATGCCTTTGCCTAATCAGATTCGATGGTGGGATAATCTTAAGAGTCACAAATTTATTGACTAGTAGTAGTGTCTTCCATGTTTTGAACTTTCAAATAGAAGAATTAAAAAGGATTTGCTTGAAGAAAAACGCAAACTAAAAGTTGTTTGATACGTCTGTGCTTGCAAAGTGACTCTTACAGAATTAGATTACTAAATCTGTTAAAAGAGTTTTTAAGTGTGAAAAGTCATAGATTTATACTGAGTGACATTGTCTTCCTTGAAATATAATATTGTTGTCGCAGGCTGTTCTATTCGATATGCCAATCCCCTGTATTGTGACTGTCACACACGACATCTAACTGATGCACAAGTGACATCTTTTTAATGATAAAAGAAACAGCTGTGGTGATATAGATAGAGATTAAAAAAAAAAAATTGAAGTACGCGATCTAGTCAAAGTCAATTTGCCTATTGGATATGGGTTAAGTTTACAGGTTAACATTGGTTCCAAAGAGCCTGTGAAAATTGAATAAAATGTGGCACACACACAAGAAGGAAAACCCAGTTAATTGTGCTTCTCTGTGTGACTATTTCACCGTGCTTATCTACTGCCAATTTGGCGTCGGATGCAGAAAATTTTGAAAATTGAAAGAAAAAGGCAAATTTCTTGGATCCTTCGTTACATCTTACATGTTGGCAATATAGATAAAGTTAAGCTAAAATTTTGTGTAGGTTAAGAAATTCCATGGAAGAGATCGTTTTAAATTCATAAATCACAACAAATGTTTTGGAATGAATTTAGATACTGTGGTTGGACTTTTTACCCTCCGTTTTTGCATCGAAATTTCATTGAACTTAAAGAAAAATTTATGTTAAATATGAAAGAGATTCTGATTTTATAAAAAAAACTTTTTTTTTTTTTTTTTCATGTATCTAGGGTATTCGGGTCAGTTTGTACGTACCTCAACTAGTCATCTAGGTTAATGACAGCTAGGTAAGCCTCTAATGGTTACACTCTTTATTAGTAGTAGTAGTGATTCGAATTCATAACTTCTTGAATAATATACCCATGAGTCTCAAGCGAACTGTGAAGTTATTTAAAAATAATTTTAAAAAATAATAATAATATATTGTCGGTGTTGGGACAAAGGGAGAGGGAGCTACATGGCAAATCAAAATCAGGTTTAAACTTGAGAATTATTGGTTCAATAATTGCACTAAACTTTTCTTGGTATTGAAGGTAAAACTTTCAGAGATGTTCTTGATCTAATAAATAAGATGTGAAAAGAAAAGACATGTTAGTGTAAATAAGTCATAAAGGAGATGAGGGAGAGAGAAAGAAATAGAAGTTCAAAAGAGGATCGAAATACAGCTAATTTCACTCGAGAAAATGTCAATATGCACATGAACTAATGATTATTTCTTAAGAGTGAAAAACACAATAGAGAAGCTAAAAACCAAACCAGTCAAACATCCTTAGTCACTGAGTCACATGGCAAGTTCGGATGGTGGACCAAGTTAAGAGAAAGAATCAAATACTCTTTACTGTTTAGGTGTGGATGGAACTAAGTTGGAACGGGTAGCAGGATAAAATGGAGCATATATCATACACACTTGCAAGTTAACAATTCCATAATTCTTTTTTTTTTTTTCTTTCTTTCTCGAATCTCTTCTGTTAGGTTCTAAGAACGACGATATCGTATGATTCCAATGTCTCAAGTATATAANGATTATTTCTTAAGAGTGAAAAACACAATAGAGAAGCTAAAAACCAAACCAGTCAAACATCCTTAGTCACTGAGTCACATGGCAAGTTCGGATGGTGGACCAAGTTAAGAGAAGGAATCAAATACTCTTTACTGTTTAGGTGTGGATGGAACTAAGTTGGAACGGGTAGCAGGATAAAATGGAGCATATATCATACACACTTGCAAGTTAACAATTCCATAATTCTTTTTTTTTTTTTTTTTTCTTTCTTTCTCGAATCTCTTCTGTTAGGTTCTAAGAACGACGATATCGTATGATTCCAATGTCTCAAGTATATAACTAAACAGACTGATATATTCTAGCCATCTATTTAAAAAATGGGTATACATTTTCTAAGATATATCAGTTCAATTCATAGTCCGCACAATTAAAATGAAGACGGTAATATTGGATCCTATCAGAACTCCAAAGTTAAGCATGTTTCGACGAGAGCAGTACTAAAATGGGCGACCTTCTGTGAAGTCCTCGTGTTGTACTCCTTATTTTTAACCCTCAAGAGGTTGGTCTGACGGTCAATTAGGTTTATTCAATTCTTTGAGTTCTTGTGTTCAAATTTTAAAACCACCTACTACAATAATATTGTGGTTTACATAGTCATTTAGGTTTATAGGGTGTTAAATGGACTCTAGTGATTAGTTGCAATATATGTAAGCTAGTCTGGAGACACCGACTACCAAAAAAAATAATAAAAAAATAAAATATACCAATTGGGTGGTCACTTTAAAAAATAAGATCTAAGTGGGTGTGAATAGAACATAAAAAAGTTGATTCATGAATAACAAACGATATATAGACGTTAGTTTGGGTTGATATTCCTTTTGCTTGTGAGTTGTGACAATTTGACGACTTTCCCACACTTAAAGCTGCTCTCTCTCTCTCTCTCTCTCTATAGTCTTTATAGTCGATGTATAAATCCAGCACGCATGCAAAGATTTTGTTAGATTTATTATGGTTATGAATGAATAATTGGATACTGATTAATATGAGTTAGTCAAAAGCACATGCTTTCCACTACTAACTAATTACCAACTGGACCCGCTCCTTCTTTTTCAATCTTTTTAGTACCTAATTAAGATTGTTCCACTCATTACCTAATGCACCCACTCATTTTTTTTTAAACTCCCATTTTTTACTTTTGAGAATGAGTAAGATCCAATATAATTATTTATTAAAAGGGTATTATAAAGTTATAAAAATATATTTATAATATATATTTGTTATGATTACTTTGACTTACCTTTCTATGCCACGTTCAGGGATGAAAGGATCAACGGTGGCGATTTTATAAGGCCGAGTGATATGATGTTGGGTTCAAAAAATACAACTTGAATTTAGAACCACAGGAAAACTGATTAGGCAGCTCCCAATTATTTATTGACGACTTATGTCGTGCCTTGTGAGCAGTAAAAGGCAGCTTCTTCTTACTATTCACGAGGACGATTAGATGCAGTGAACGATGGAAAGAGCACCACGTGTTGTACAGGTCAGCTTCTGAAAACTTTGACTTCACTGTCGGTCAAATAATCATTCATTCACGAAACGGCTTTCTGCATGCTGATCCTCTGTGTTCTGATACATGTTAACGTTCAGTGAACAGTTGTGAATTGTCCTCTTCCTTCTTTGTATTAAATAAATAATTAAATATCTCTCTTCAACCACCGACAGTGACCTCCCAACACGTATTCTGTGGAGGCAAGAAACATTGCTTTGCTTATGCTTGCCCCTAGTTAAGTATTAAATGACAAATTGCAGCACCAAAATAGCGTTATTACAGATTTATCTCTTTATTTTTACCAATAATGAATTTTAATTTTTCACTAATATTTGTATAATTATATATAGTACCGCCATGATATGGAAACTCCAAAAAAATGCCAAAAATAAGACTGCTTAAAGTATTTCTCTTATTAACAACGAATTGGTTGAATCAAATTCAAAATATCATTTCTAGTGTAAAAATCAAAAAATGTTTATACGTGGGAATGTTGGATCTTCCAAAGGCAGAGATTCCATATGCTTTCATGCTATGAGTAAACCACTTTTTCCCACCTAAGGTTTGCCTTAATGACTTTATTACCCAAAAAATTTTAAAATACCACTTTCTCACCCAAAGTTAATATTCCATTACTACCCAAAGCTGATTTCAACGGCAAATTTTTTTTCTTTATCACCATTTAAACCTCTGGTCTCCTCTTTACAAAATCTCTCTCACTCTAGCACCTAATTTTTTGTCGATTATCAGCCACCACAAATAAAGGGTTTCCTATT